CACTTGGTGCTACAGGCCCAGCAGTCATTCCTCAGGTTCCCCTGTGGGTTCCTGGACACCCCCTGATGTGGGCACTGAAACTCCCCGTGGATGAGGGACACATTCTTGGGGTGGACTGAGTACGGACAGAGCCACCTCCAAGCCCTCTTTGTTGTCTGGATTGAATGCACCTCCCCTCGTTGCACACTTTATGCCAGCCACAACCTGGCCAGTGCTTCTGTTGTGCCAGGCCCTGAAGTGCACAGCCCCAGCCAAAACCCGCAGTGGCACCGTTGCACTGAGCTCCCATCAGCTCTCATGACCCAAGGGCTGTGTTAGCCACTTTGTGCAGGGAAGAGTGCAGGTATTTCAGGAGTGGGTGACCCCCAAGCTATGATGCAAAGGGCTGCTGTGCTGCAGGACGCATGCGGGTGACGTGGAGGCATCCCTTTTCTCTCTGAGTTGATGGCAGTGCAGTGTGTCGTGCTGCAAGGAGCAGTGTGACTGACTTAGTAGGGGCACACTTTCCTCAGAGGCAGTGCCAACCCTAATGCCCCAGCTGACCAGGAGCTTTGAAGGAGCCTGCCCTGACTCCCCTTAGTGCTCTGTCCCAGGATACATTACAGTGGAAGTTAATTACTGCCATTGTCAGGCCCCTCTACACTGCTTGAGTGCTGTATAGGAGGCTCAGTGCAGTGGAGACCTGGGCCCTAGGATTTTAACAACATCAGCATTTATGCTAATTGTACCACATCCAAGCATGCCATCTCCCTTTACTTCAGCCCCACTGTTGTGAGCCAGGTAGTCCATTAGTGTTTGCCTATATAAGGATGCCTGACTGCTCAGTTGATGCCCAGTTTGGTAATAGCTCTAGAGCTGAATGCCATTAGGAGTCAATATCTGGATATTCAGACTGCTGCCACTTTCTGCATATGTTGGCCCTACTTATTGAAATGTTGCCCTGTCTTTTCTTGTCTCATAGGTGGTCTCTTCCATGGGTGCTGCCCTTCACAGATCCATTAGCCCAGCTTTACCACTGGGCTAGCTTTCCACCTGAACAATCTGTACATTTAGCAATCAGAATTCAGGACCTGAAATTCAGCTGGCATAAAATCCCCATAGCTCCATTGAAGCCAATGGAGCTAGGCCCATGATCGCCAGCTAAGAGAGTCTGGAAGTGTTGAGCTCTCCCATTCCAATCGATTCAGTACACGTATTGTACTGATACAGCTGGTATTTCAATTCTCCTTACATCAGTGCCCAGCAGAGGATGGAAGTTTCAGTCCATGAAGGATTTCAAGATTTTGTCATGTTTTTCTTTTCATTCTGAATCAGAGCCAATCTTAAAAAATGTCAAAATTCTCCCCAGAAGGAAAGTCCCAAAGCAATTTATTGCAGGTCATGTGTTGAAGTGCTTCATTTTGACCTTTAAAAAAAATGCATCCAGTTATAATATTTCAAAGCAAGTTTCAGAAATAACTTCTGGAAGCCAAAAATTGCTTAAAAGTGAGATGCTTAAAATTGAATCATTTCATGCTAAAAATGTCAAAGCAGGAGGTCTCACTATTGCCAAGATGTTTTTCCCTGTAAAGAAAACTTTCATGCCAGAAAGTTTTCAAGAAAACTCACTGAGTTTTGTCAAGTGTTTTGTTTTTCTTTCTGCCAGAACTGTACTTTCCAATGGACTCTTGTTCCATAGGCGCTTTTTCTACCAGATCTAGCCAGAACTTATGGAGGCACATACGTTTCCATCTCCAGTGGCAGAAAGTTTCCTCCTTTATATAGCACATGATCCAGGGAAGTGGTTTTTCCATCCCCCTACTTAGCTAATTGAACCAGATTTGTTAGTTTAGATCAGTGTTGTGGCATTTCTCTTTATGGTTTTCCTTTTTCCACTTGGTTTGGAAGTTGAAACTCATGGGCGACACCAAGGCAGTGTCTGAGTGGAGGGAGCCTCCTGAACGCTGGAGTGCCTGGAAAGGGGACTCTCCTTAAGTATGCATGATCTGGTAAAATAGGCCAAGCTTTTGATAATGGAGAGTTCCCTGAGATTTACTGTACCTTGAAAATGGGAAATGGAGTAGGGAATACTGGATAATACTTTCAAATCTTTGGGTGCCTAAAAAATGGGAAATCCCATAAGATTCACTGAATGTCTCCAAGCTTACAGATGCCCTAGAAATAATTGGGATACTCATGAGCTGCAGGATCTCTTGAGCCCGCTGAAACGTCCAGGCTATGAGATCTGATGAGCTTGGTCACAACCCCTGGTGACACTGTGGAAGGTGAAGCTAAGTCCTCACCTTCCACCTAAGACGATGCAAGTCATCACAGCTTCACTGACTGACCAGGACGTAGGCCCATTCAGAGCAGCCATGCTGATTTATACCAGCTGAGGACCTGGCCTGAGAAGTATTGCAATGATGCTTTCCAGGCTAGTTAAGGGGAGAGTCTTCAGTTTCATGGTGGGGATGGCAGTAAAAGGTTGGAGGAGCATCAGCCAGGAAGATCTGGAAATGCTCCTGGCTCTCGGGGCCTGGCTGTTTCTAAGGTCTTATCTCCCCTCTGTTGCCTCTTGGATATGGCATATGGAGAAGCTGATTGCAATTCTCAAGCAATCCTCGAGGTTCCCAGGGTGGTGAAGAAAGGAGGAGCGTTCAGACAGGGTTCATGCCAAGACTCCCATAACATTGCTGCTGAGCTGGAAGGTTTCACTGATGAGGTGAAAAGAGCATCTGGGCATAGATATCAGCAGGCTTGGCCAAAGATAGAGGCTTCAGAGGTGAGTGCATGAAGCCCATAGATGCTGGACATTTCAGACCTGAGATAGTCTCACTCCAGTCCCTAATACCATAATTAGATGGGTCTCTGCTCCCCTCCCATCCTGGATCTTGGGGATGTGAAAGAGAAGCCAAGACTCAAGGCTGGGGGAAGCCCCGGGGGCAGCAACAGGGAGGCTGAAGTTCTACCTGAAGCAGGGGTGCATCTAGGGGAGAGGGTGTGCACTAGTGTACTTGCACCACTTTGATTCCTGGTCCACCCAAAGTGTAAAACCAACTGCCTGGCAGTGGCAGCAGCATTTCTAGTCAGGCAGTTCTGAGGGATTCAATTGACTTCATGGCTCATTATAATTAATCTGATCCCTTCTAAACTCTTCATTCCACCGGTAAGGACCCTCTCTTCTTTGTAATGGTCGTCATGTTCCACCAATCAAGCTAGCCTTTGTTTTGCCGTTCTGCTGTCGGTTCACTGCTCCTGGTAATGAGGCTCCTATTTCACAGCCCTGCAGTGTTTTTAACTCATTCCAATGAAGTGATATTTGTTTTTGCTTTAATTTTAAAGTGTATTATACAGCCCTAGGCTCCTTGCAAGCTTCTAGGTTTTTTTTTAATTAGAGAAAAAATATGTGTTGTTTTTGCATATGATGATGCACCTCACCATCTGCAACTTTTCAAACTTCTAGATCCACCCCATGACCAGAAGCCAAGGGGCTCCAGATTTAGTAGCAGTCTGGAAGCTGGGGATGGAACCTGAGCCCTGCCCTTGGTGTTTAGCTTTGGGGTCTCAGTTCAGCAAAGCCCATGAAGGTAGGCTTGAATTTAAGCATGCACTTAGGTTTTCATGTTCTTGGAGGAATCAGGGCCTTCTTCAGCAGAATTCCCATTGTCAGCAGGAGCCCCAGATTCATCCTGTGACACTTGGCTTGTTTGGCATGGTGATTAATGCATAGTTGCATTCCTTTCTAGGTGCCAAGTTCTGCTTGGAGAACAGTGATCAGACAAATAAGATATAACAAGGGCTGTGAACTAGAGAGGGCCCCTTAGCCAGCGCAGCGCTCCATCTGCAACCACATGGCTTTTCTGGACTGCTGCACCTCACCCACTTCAAGACAGTTGAGCAGGATGCAAACAAAGATGCCAAATTAGAAGCAGCCAAGGAAGATGACGGCCAGTCTGATCCAAAAGTGCTGGAAGGCATAGAAAGCCTCACCATATGGACTTGCCCTTTTGGTCCTTGCTGCTGGTACAGGAGGCAGTGAGGATGTTTCTCCACGGGCTGGGGCTGCTTATTTGTTGATGGCTGATTCTCTCTGATTACTCTCTGGGGACCCAGAATAGGATGGGTGATGGACCTGTGAGGGGAGGTTCTGCGGGCATCAATGCCAGTCTCCATGGAGCCGTTGCTCCCCACTCAGTGGGCGTGGAACTCCTCCAGACCAGGACGACTGCTCCAGATGTCCCAGAACTCCGCACATCCCAATTCCAGCCTGGACACCAAGACCAAGGACGTGGCCTCAGAGTCTGTGGGGCTCTTCTTCATGCTCTTGATTGACCTGACGGCCATCATGGGCAATGCTGCTGTGATGACTGTCATCATCAAGACGCCCGCGCTGAGGAAGTTTGTCTTTGTTTTCCACCTCTGCTTGGTGGACCTCTTGGCAGCCCTCACCCTCATGCCCTTGGCCATGCTGTCCAGCTCTGCCCTTTTTGACAGCACCATCTTTGGTGAGGTCATGTGCCGCGTCTACCTTTTCCTGAGTGTCTGCTTCATCAGCATGTGCATCCTCTCCATTTCAGCCATCAACGTGGAGCGCTACTACTATGTAGTGCACCCCATGCGCTATGAGGTCAAGATGACTGTCAGCCTGGTGGTCTGTGTCCTGGTGGGGGTGTGGATCAAGGCGGTGGTCATGTCTGTCATCCCTGTGGTTGGGTGGCTGTCCCCCGATCGCTTTGCCAGCTCCCCAGCCCCTCATGGTCGAGGCTGTTCGCTGCAGTGGAGCCATAGTTCTTACTGCAAGTTCTTTGTGGTTTTCTATGCTGTCTTTTATTTCCTCCTGCCAGTCCTGATCATCCTTGTGGTCTACTGCAGCATGTTCAAGGTGGCCAGAGTGGCTGCCATGCATCACGGCCCACTTCCCACTTGGATGGATACCCCACGGCAGCGGTCAGAATCGCTCAGTAGCCGGTCCACCATGGTGACTAGCTCTGGAGCCCCTCGGACTACTCCACAGAGGACGTTTGGGGGAGGGAAAGCTGCTGTCATTCTCCTGGCAGTGGGAGGGCAGTTTCTTTTCTGCTGGTTGCCCTATTTCTCTTTTCACCTCTACACAGCCCTGAGCTCCCAGCCTTTGCCTGGCCAGCAGGTGGAGAGTGTCGTCACCTGGATCGGCTATTTTTGCTTCACTTCCAACCCTTTCTTTTATGGGTGCCTCAACCGGCAGATCCGCGGAGAGCTCAGCAGGCACCTCACCTGCTTCTTCAAGCAGCCGCCGGAGGATGACCTCAGGCTGCCCAGCCAAGAGGGCTCCATCGAGGAGAATTTCTTGCAGTTCCTTCAGGGGACAGGCTGTAACGCAGAGACCAGGAACATTCATGCTCACGCCAGTCCCAAGAGGGACCAGCCCACCATTGACTTCCGAATCCCTGGACAGATTGCCGAGGAGACCTCGGAGTTCCTCGACCAGCACCTGAACAGTGATATCACCGTCCCTGACAGCTACATCAGGACAGCGCCTTCGCCCAAGCCTGAGCTGTAGCACTACTTTGCACTTGACAATCTCGTTCTATGAATGTGTGGAACAATGCAGAAGCCAGCTGCCAGCGGCAGTGGTGGTGGTGGTGGTGGTGAATACCAAACCCAACCATGGTGACTGAATCTGCATCCTTCTGCCTCAGTGCCCAACCTGGAAAGCAGCAGGGCCTGGTGTTTGAGTCCTTCTGGTTAGTTTAGATTGGTGTTGTGGCATTTCTGATTAATCCCTTTTTCACTTGGTTTGGAAGCAGAAAGAGTCCCAGGCTCCCCAGACTTCCTCTGTGTCCCTTGCAAGTTTCCAAAAGAGCTTTGACATGGTTTGGTCTCCATTTCCATTTCCTCTTGACCCTTTTTACTCCGATTTCTGCCCTTTTCCCATCCCAGTAGGAAAATAAGGAAGACAGTGGGCTTCCCAGCACTCAACCCTGCAGCTCCAATGGTTTTCCCAACCTGGGACCCCATTGAGGAGAAGGGGCATGGAGAAGGAAGGGAGAGATGCCCCTTGCTGGTGTTTGACCAAGGCATGGCCAACCCTCCCCCATCTCTGGGAGCATCAGGGGGAGAGGGCATTGAGAGGAACCAGTGCAAGCCAGGATTGCAGTAGAACAAGTGGCCTTTTACCTCCAGTTCCCCACAGGTTTCCTTTGAACCAGCACAGTCTCCTCCCTTGCTCTCCATCTTGCATGCCCTGAGCTGGGCATGGGCTCCAGAACAATTTCCTTCCTTCTCCTTTGGTCTTCCAGCAATCCCCACCCAGCTTAGCCTGTCCTGGCCTGGCCTTTCTCCATCTCCTCCAAAGTGCTGCTTGTGTTCGTGGCCCCTGCCCCAAGAGGGAGGCAAGGCCCAGGAGCAAGTCTCTTCCCACTCCGGCTCCTGCCTGAGGGGATGCTTTTCCCCAGGTGAGAGTGACTTGGGTGCTGAGCCCAGGCCCCACTTTTCTCCATCAGTGCTGCTTTGTGGGCCTGGAGGGTCTCACCCCTTTGACCCCAGCAGCACATGGCCCAGCACAGACACAGCCTGTTCCACAGCCCCAGGGACCACGGGGTCACAGCTGCCTGGCCGGCGGTGCCCATGCCTCTCTGAGCCCAGGCAGAAGCTCTCGCCAGGCTCCAGGTGGGGGGCAGAAAACAATGATGGTGGTTTTTGTATTGACCTGGATCATCTTTTCCTTCTCAGCACCTGCCTCTCCTGTCTCCCCTCCCATGGCAGTGGGGTCTCTAACTCCAGAAGCACAGGCAGCATGAGGGGCCCAGGCAGAGCCTGGGCTGTGGGATAAAGCATCCCTGCTGGCTGGCCCATGGTGGACTCTTTGCTGGCTGGGGGAGACTCTGGAAGTGCCGATGCCTCCTCATAGCGAGGTCGGATTAGAGCTGGGCTGAACCTGCGCCTTTGCCCATTGCACAGCTGCCACTACAGGCATGAGGGGTCCAGCTGCATCTTTCCAGCCAGGTCCCATGCTGGAATAAATGGTTGTGGTCCTGGCCTGCTGGACAGACCCTAGTGAGACAGCAGGAGTAGTTGGGGTCTAGCAGGACCTGAGTAGTTGGGATATTGGGTTACAAAAGGAAGGGGTGGTTCTGATTGAGACCCTGTTTGACTTCCTTTCTCTCAGCAGATCAACTAGTGGGTGGTGGGGAGGGGGACCACGCTGGTTTGGATTCCCCTCTGCTTTCCCCTCTGGCATTCATCTCAGCCAGCGGGCAAAGAGCTCTGCAACAGGGATCAGCCGACAGTCCTCAGCCTGCTGGAATCAATGGCCTTACAAACCACCACTGACTGCAGCAGACCTAGGGAGTGGCCTCTTGTGGCCAGTGCCCCCTTCTCTGCTGGGCAGGAGGGCAGGGAATCACAGGGAGAAAAGACCAGCCCTCCTTTGGGATTTGATGATGCACTAATCTTAATCCTGGGGGTCCTGCCTTCAAAGCCTGTCAGGGCTGAGTCTGGCTGTGAGCCTCAGGCTGCACAGCCCCCTCTGCACTCCAACCCTGGGTCCTGAGTTGGCTGGCTGGGACATGCCCCAGCAGCCCTGTCTGACCTCCATCACTGCTTCCTGAGTGGTAGGATGTGAGGACATTTTTATGTCGGACAGTTTCATCCTGGAGCAACAAATAAAACTATTTATTATGAAACGTGCCTCCCTGTCTGTGAGGGACCGGACAGGGGTTGGGCCTCTGATCATAGACCCCTGAACAGGCTGGACAAGAATCCTGGCCAGCTTTGATGGGGCTGCTGGTCAAGCTGGTTTGAAGATGGGGCTAGGAGTCACCTGGTAGATCTGGCACTAGGAGAATCCAGTGTATCTGCTCCCCATGTTACCTTGCAGCATTTTTCTCTGCAGATCTTTGGAAGGAGCACTGTCCAGCAGGTGCAGCACAGGCTTCAGGGTCCAGGTCCAGAGAGCTGGGCTCCACTCCAGCCCTGCCACAGAGCCTCTCAATGGGCAAGTAACTTTGGCTTAGGTTCCCAGAACTAGTGGCCTAAACTTTGAGGGAAGAAGCATGCTATATTGTGGTGGCGGATAGTCGGGGCATCTTACTTGGACTCCAGAAGCAGGTCTTTGAGTTGCACGCTGGACTCATTCCAAAGGTAAATGAACACTCGGTCATTCAGACTGGCAGGTTTAAGGTAGCTGGGGGTGCTGCTGGCCACGGTGCTCCCCTGTGTACCATTGTCTATGGAGACGGTTATGCCTCAGCCACGCTAGCCCAAAGGGCTGATTGGGTTTGGCTGGTCTTTGATTTTTATCCATAGATCTCAAAGGGCATCATAAAAGTGAGGAAATGCTAGAAACACCCCCCTTCCCCACCTCATGACAGCAGGAAGACTAAAGGCACAGAAAGAGGAGTGACTTGGCCACGGTCATATAACAAGTCAGTGGCAAAGCTTTGGAGTATAGCAGTCACTCAGGTGTCCTGACTCAACCGGCACCCCCTGCAAGGCAAAGGGCTAGCATAAGGCACTGTGCTCTGACTTGTACCCTCTCTGGAGGGGGGGACAGTAACAGCACATTTTATTCCAGGCTCTCAGGTTTCTCCCATATAGACAAGTTGAAATGATCAAGGGCAGAAGAAAGTGCAGAGAAGTTTGGCGTCAGAAGGCCAGTGGAAGAAGCCAGTGATAAGAATAGAAGTGAACCATGAAGGAAGGCATCGTGGTCTAGTGCAGCGATTCTCAACCTGGGTGCCTTGAGAGCTTTTCAAGGGAGCCATGGGGTGTCATTCAATGTTAGCCCTAGTAGGTGTGTAAACGTGACGCACAAGATAAACCCACTGATTTCAAATGAGAATCCACAGTGTTAAAAACCTTCCGAACTGCTGTGCCCTTTCTCAGTTCTTTGCAATAGAAAAATTGCCACATTATTTTTCCATAGTCAAAAAATGAGTGAAAACTAAGAACCAGCATTTTCCCCGGGCTGCTCTGAGCCTAACAAGGAGTGCCTTGAGTCTAAAAAGTTGAGAAACACTGGTCCAGTGGTTACAGCAGGGGTGTGTGAAGGGGTCAGAACTCCTTGATTCTATTCCCAAACTCTGCTACCAATTCACTTTGTGCCCCAGGCATGGCCTGTCCCCTCTTTGCCTCCATAAAATGGGGACAGTTGTATTTAATTATGTTGCCCGAGCGATGTGTAATTCAGCCCCCACACCACAGCAGTGTGTAATTCAACAATGCAGGTGCTAGCAAGCACAAAGTGCTTTGAGTGCATAAGAAACAGGCCTTGGATCTGTGCAGATAGTGCATATTATTTTGCAGCTATCTAGTTGGTCTAATAAAAGATAGTGCCTCTTCCTCAGGAGTTTTGGATGCCTTGTGACAACTCATACACCCTTGGGGACAGCCCACAAGCAGCTCAGCAGGCAGGGAGCAGGCACAAGGGGGGATCCATCCACCGCTGCCACTATCCTCAGCTGATCTGGGAATGGAGGGAGCCCAAGGGATGGTCCTGCAGGGAGCATATATATGCACAGGGTGCTAGGGACAGCAGTGGTGGGTGGGTTCCCCCTTCCTGCACTTGCCATGCCCCCCGCAGTGGTCCCTCACACACGGGTGGGTGTGGGGGTCTACACAACCCCACTGGATCTACCCCTGTCCCCACACAGTATGAGGTCTGGCCTTGGACTGCGTGTGCACCCGCCCATGACTGCACGCATCTGTGCTTGTGATCACAGACTGGCTCCCAGTCCCTGCTGCATGGCCTTTTCTCCCCCTCTGCTTCCCCCCTCACATCCCTGGCAGATCCATCTGCTCTGACCTTTCACGCTCACAGACACTGGAACCGTTTAAGCCCCCTGGGTGTGTGCTTGCTTGATGATCACTCATCCCTTTGTGAGGAGGGACTCCAAAAATAGCCTTCTCTGAAGACCACTTCCTTCATCCCCTGGGTGTGGGCTGCCGTCAACCACGAGAGCTGGGGAAAGAGCTTGTGTTGTGCCATCTGAGTGGTGAGTCAGCCTCACCTGGGTAACAGGGACCCATCTCAAGGGAGATGCCGTGAAGGACAGTGGCCTGGAACCAGGAAGGAGCCACTCCTTTCAGGACCGCAGGGTTTCTCTGGTCCTTCTTCCTCCTTCCCCACGGCTGTGGGAGGGTCTTGTCAACATCATGCTGGATTGGGGAACCACTGCTAGGGCTCTGGAAGTCCCTTTTCATTCCACTCCACTTCTCTGGTAAGGGCCTCCTCCTTGTGTGAGAGGGGAATTCAGCTGGTGATGACCTCTCTGAGCTGAGATTGCCAGCAGATGGCAATTGGAGCAAACTGGCCGCGTCTACATGAGATGGTTACTGTGCAGTCATTTAGTACTTGCATACCTGAGTACTGAATGACTGTGCAATAACCAGCGTTACTGTGCAGTAGCGTCCCCACATGGCTTCACGGTGATCCTGACTGCACAGTAGCATCGCGTCACAGTTCATGCCCTGCGACGCCCCTGTGCAGTACTAATGAGCTACTGCGCAGTAAGCGTCTTGTGTAGGCACAGCCACGGTGTCCTACCTGTGCATTTCAAATAGCCTACTATTGTCAGATTGTCATTGCCAGCCCAGTCTGGATATGAGCCAGCTGCACAGTGCACTGGACATCCCCTGAGCCACTCAGAACTCCCCTCCCATCCACACTGTGCCAGTCTGTCCTAGCTTGTCCTGGCTCTGGCCCTCTTTTCCCAAGGGGCTGTCCTCCTGCTCTGTCTACGCAGGCTGACATCTTCCCCTAGCACCTACCTGAAAATGCACTCCTAGCCGACAGGCCCTTCTCTAGTTAGTTAGAGACTACTGTTCACT